CAAAATATCTAATAATAATAATAATAATAATAATAATAATAATAATAATAATAATAATAATAACGTCATTTTTCTTAAACGAAGAAAGGAAGAAAAGTAAAAAAGTAGAGACTGTACGACCCATTTAGTTCTGCCCTTCTTGCCCAAATGCTTTGGTACAGGGCTGAGGCTGCATCCGCACTGCAGAAATAACCCAGTTCGAGCCCGCTTTACCCGCCAGGGCTTCTAAAGCGATGGAATTCAAGGATTGGGCGTTTTGTGAGCTCTCCTGCCAGAGGGAGCGCTGGGCTGGGGCCACAGCAAACTACAATTCCCAAGACTACAAGCCCCAGAACTCCATGGCATGTAGCCGGTCTCAGACTGGATTAATTCTGTCGTGTAGAGGCGCTCAATCTGGCTACTTCGATCTACGCCTGCATCTGCACTGCAGAAATAATCCGGCGTAGCCCCACTTTCCATAGCTCAATGCTATGGGATTCTGGGAACTGTAGTTGGCTGTGGCCCCCAGAGCAAAGCTCCAGTCCCCAGAATTCCATAGCACTGAGCCGGGGCGGTGAAAAAAAAGGGGGGGCACGCCGGATTATTTCTGCAGTGCGGATGCAGCCCAATACTCAAAGAAATGACTGTACTTGCCCATAGGGAGACATTGCAGAATGCTTGCCCATAGGGAACCACTGGAGATGTTGCCTATGTTTCCCTATGGGCAAGTCATTCCCAATATTTGTCTATAGGCAAATATTCCCCAATGTTTCCCTATGGGCAAGTAATTCCCAGTATTTCCCTATAGGCAAATATGCCCTAATGGATCCCTATGGGCAAGTAGTCCCCTATGTTTCCCTATGGGCAAGTAATTCCCAATATTTCTCTATAGGCAAGTTTTCCCCAATGTTTCCCTATAAGCAAATATTCCCCAATGTTTTCCTATGGAAAAGTAATTCCCAGTATTTCCCTATAGGCAAATATGCCCTAATGAATCCCTATGGGCAAATATTCCCCTATGTTTCCCTATGGGCGAATATTCTCCAGTCTTTCCCTATATGCAAGTATTTCCCAATGTTTCCCTATAGGTAAATATTCTGCAATGTTTCCCTATGGGCAAGTAATTCCCAC